TCTTGTCTGTTTCATATCTGGGCTTTTTAGCAGAATACAAAATAGAAAGTCCTTTAAATTTGGTTAAAATCAGCACGTTTGGTTTGAATTAGAGCAAAACGCTGACGTGTTTGAGTCTTTGTGGTTGTTTTGTGTCTCTTTGCAGCCTCTTTGCACTGAGGTGGAGTTCATTTGTGATCATTTTCCATCTCTTCTTCATTGGTTTGCATCACATTCTGGTCTTTTTGTGTCTTTGTGGTTGTTTTGTGTGTCTTCGCAGTTGTTGGATTGGATTTGCATTAATTTGTGTTCATTTTGCCTCTTTCTTAGTCAGTTTTAATCTATTTCTACTCTTATTGTGTGTCTTCGTCTTCATTGTGTGTCTCTTTTCCATTGATATGCGTCTCTTACTGGTTGTTTTGACGTCTTTGCTGCTGTTGTGCAGCTTTTTGTGTTAATTTTAGTCAGTTTTCCTCCTTTTTTGTTGTTTTTTTGTGTTTGAAGCAGTTTTGAAGTCATTTGTGTTCATTTTTTTGCATTTCCTTAGCAGCTATTTGCATCTGGCAGTGTTCCTCTTTGCTCTTTTTGTGAGTCGTGACAGTTGTTTTTATCTGTTTGCGCTGGATTTGCATTTGTTTGTGTTTACGCATCACTTCTTCAGTTGGTTCTGTCTCTTTGTGGTGTTCAGTGTCTCTGTCTGTTTTTTGTGCATCGATTTCATTGTGTCGTCTTTATGTTGCTGTTTTGTGTTTGTTTCTTTGCAGCTACCTACATCCTGCAGTGTTAGTTTTGTGTGTCTTAGAGAAGCTTTTGAGGTTGTTTTGCTTTTATTTATGTCCATTTAGATTTTGTTTTCCATCTCTTTTTGTGTCATTGTGAGTTGTTTGTGTTCATTTTGGTTGTTTTTCATCTCTGCAGCTATTTCCGTGTGTCTTAGTTAGGTTAGGTTTCATCCCTGTGTTGACCTCCCATCTGTTTGAGTTCACTTTGCATCCCTTTCTGGTTGTTTTGCATGCAGCAGCGTTCCCCTTGCGTGTCCTTCACTGTGTCATCACAGTTGTTTTATCAGTGATTTGCATGTTTCTGTGTTCATTTTGCATCACTCTTTAGTTCGTTCTGCCTCTCTGTGGTCACTTTACATGTGTTTCAAGTGTTTCTGTTGCTGCTTTGTGTCTCTTTACATCCAGCAGTGTTACTTTCTCTTTTCTTTCTGTAACTTTCACTGCAGCAGCTGCTCTTCTTGCAGCCGTACATTTGTCAAACCTGGACCACTTCGTCCCACAGTTTCAGATTATATTTTGTACCGTTTTGCATTTAGTTTGTGAGACAGAAGATAAAAAAAGTGAGTCTTTGCACTTTTATTTATTCTTTATCTCCAGTCTGCAGCAAACCTTCACACGCCTCCTAAACAAACCGATGTTGGACGTCGGCTGATTCGGGTGTTGCACATTCCTGCAGCCGGCGGTGTGACGGGAACATGCCTGCAGCAGAAACCTCGCCCTCGCCGTCATTAAATCATTAAAGCTCTGTAGCTCTCATGTAATTACTTTTGTTACACGGTGACAAGTCGTGACAGATTGAGTCTGATTATTATCCCTAAATATGTTTTTTCATTCTGTGTGCAGAGAGCTAAAACACCCGCGTTGACTCAGTGTGGTGATGCTGAAAGTCAAAGTGTGAGAAAACCTTCTTCACACAAGTTCTGTTTTCACATTTAACTCACACGTTCTCATCATCTCCTCAGTAACGTCTCACGTTTTCATGCACCAAAACTTTATTTTTATGAGCAAATCTTGATGCAAACTGCTACAGAACTGAATTTTATTTTGTCGTTTATTGAGAGAAATGTAAACACTGCTGTCTCCCAGAAGGTCAGGATGGAGAACCGCAGTTAGTAGAACCTTCTTGTGCCAGCTGTTGCTAGCAGGGTGAATTCA